AAAATAGGCTGGTCCTAGTTTCATGGAGTAATTCCTACATGTCCTTGTAGGCTTCATCATCATTCCTGTAGAATATACCATCAAGTGTTTTGCAAGCTGGACCTCCTACATATTTCTTCAGGTAGTGTAGTTTGTCAGCAGAGGAAATGTTCTTTCCGTCTATCAGTGCAACAAATGAAGCCTTCCGTTCTATAAAATGAATTGGATCTCCTAAGAACATAGAAGGTTCTGGCTGTGGGAGGCGGTTTATTGCAATGCTGTCTTGAACTGCTTGTGCTAGGTAAAACACATCTGTTTGCTGAGGTAGAATGGGCATTGCGCTGTCATTAGGCTGTTGCAGTMGATTTGACTCTGGAGYGGACTCCTGAGYTGCTCTATTGACATCCATTGAGTGAACACTGCCTTCACTCATTATTTCTTGATCATATGACATGACCTTAGCTCGTGCAGCCTTGACTTCCTTTTCTACTCTTAGTCTTTCTAGCTCGTGCCTTTGAGCTTCAAGTTCCTTTCTTTGCTTTTCTTCTAYCTGCTGAATTTTTTCCTTTTGTTTCTCCTCTTCTATTAATGCTTCATACTCCACTTCTTTTGCTGCCAATTCAGCTSKYGCTTCTGCTCTTTTTGCAGTGACAACTGATTTAACTGAATGAGCTGAATGGCTGCTACTATTTGAGTGTCTACATGAAGGTGAGGTTGTAGACCCATAGATGGAGTGAGCGTAGTCTTTATTGAGCAGTTCACGGAGACGTGCCTTTGCTGCTTCACTGTTATACTCATCAATGCCTGATAGTCTTTCATAAGCTATTTTGACAATGTTTCTTGTGACAGCTTCACATGCATCTACACGTCTTCTTGTGTCACTACTGGGAGTTAGGTGATGTCTAATCTGTATATACAATTCAGTGACACATTCTTTTTCATGCTCTAGTTTGTCTGTGAGTGCAGCAATTTGACTGTCTGCTATATCTTCTTTAAGTTGCTCACGTGCTTTACATATTTCCTTTTTCCACTGTTCATAAATGTGACTGAACCYTTTTTCCTTTCTTTGGGCCTCCTCATCCTGATATATTTGCATCTTTTCCGTGGGTTTCTGTGAGCGACTGGAGCGAGCAAGATCATCTTCCTTGCTGACCTGACAGGCTTCATTGTGCTCTTCGCCTTCTTGCTGATCAGATGTTTCCATGTTGGCAGGATGGGCCACGCCGTAGACCATGGAATCCCACCTGTTCCTTGAATACCCTTGATTGGAGCTTTGATGGGACTTCTCAGGTCAAGCTCTTACTGTAGCATCCCCGGTTGAATGGTCTACTCCCAAACTGATGGTTCACTTTGCCTTTTTATTACGACGTTGGACAGGCTTGAAACCTTGGTGAACACACCGTAAGAYCTACAGAAACAAACAATTCAAATTAGTAACAACTTACAGCATGTAATATTAGCCTTAAAACATTCACTTCCTTAATACAGTATTTACCAATGAACTGATTTATCTTTACTCGTTTTATCATTGCAAAATACGAGACCTCAAATGGAGCGCTATATTTACTGTAAATTTATCTTAACACACACACACTCCATGTGAAATGCAACTTAAATGACAAATTATAACCTCCTTGTTATGCATGACATTCAATAAAGCATAATAATTTTCTACATAAGCACTTTAGAAAACTATAAAATTATCTCTCATTTTTATTAGCTTAGCCTGTTAGTGCTCTCTACTGGTGTCAAATAAAACAATACTGCTTAAAGTACTACAGAGTAAAAGTTAGCAACCAACAATAATCACAAACCTTGTTCCCATATCAACCAGGTGCTAAAGAACCTGTAAATTATTCAATAGATGACATTTTCTCTCTTCTTCAGTTCAATGTCACAGGGAAGACACGTTTTCTGCTCATGTTAAACTTATTACAGCATTTTAGCACAGTTAGTTCTACTTTATGGCACCTTCACGTTGCTCGGTAAAACGTCCTTCAAAATAAAAGCATTGATCTCAATAGTAAATTAAGTAAACAAATATAGAACAAATTTCACAATAAAACATTTGCAGGTCTGTTACAATCCTTATGAGGACTTATCGCACACGGCGCTCATAGCTTATCTGCCTCATTCTGCTGCTCACGTTTTTACACCAGGCAAAAAATACATACAATGAAAGTAAAACATGGTGCTGAGCACCTGTTCGGTAAACAAACTTAAACGCAGCTGTTKTTTGTCCCCTCATATTCTGACACAGAGGGTAGAAACAGCTAAATTAGACAGCTAAAACACATTTACAGTTCATAACTCACCCTTTTTGTAACATTCCTCCTGTGTTGTCCACAAGCACTTTCCATCCTGCTGTGGGTCCATTTCCTTGAAAAATGAAACTTAACCAGGCACTTTGAAGAAGCTCTGCTCTGACGCTGGTAGTCTATATAGATAATAATGTGGGTTTACACACCCCAGAACCGAACATTTTGACTTCTGAACTTGCATATTCGGCATGACACTATGAACTACAAAATCACACAGCGAGGAAAAAAATGGCAGACTATGAAATCCAGTTGGCCGGAAATACATTACATTACCATAAATGGTAGTTCCGAAGAAAATAGTGTGACGAAATAAGCAATGAAACGTAATAAGCAACAGCAGATTTTGAACAAACTGAAAAATTTGACCCATAAAAATATAAAAAATATCTTTGCAGTAACAGAACAGAATAAATTAAAGTTTTCTACACTCCTAGACACTATAATTGCACAAAAATAGTTTATAAATGCAAAAAAGTGCATTTAGCATATGTCTCCTTTAAAAAATACTTTATTGATCACAAAAGTAAATTATATAATATAATAGTAGTTTAAATGCATGTATTTTAGTTTAGCTGCTCCCCAGTGTAGGTAAGGATATAAATTGTGTAAATAAATAACGCACCATTGTGACACATTCGTTTGAAGACGTGGTTCTGCAGGTTTGTCATTCTGAGTCTTYCACTGGGTCAGACTCTGGCTCGTACATGTAAGGCTGGATTGACAAGTCTACCGTTGTTGACATCTTTATACTTTCTTACCATCTGCCATCACTAATATGCACCTTCATATGCATTCGTTTTTGTACTGTACTTTATGGTGTAAATATGTATATAAATAAGCATATGTGTGTATATGTGTATATGTGCATTCATACATTACTATACATCACATGTGTATATTGTGGGGTTTTGTTTGTTATTTTTTATTAATCTTTCATTATTCTTCTCAGCCTCTCTTGTATTAAGCTGCAGTAATGTGTAAATTTCCAGACTGTGGGATCAATAAAGTTTTATCTTATCTTATTTTATCTTAAAAACAGTTTTTAGTCGGTAGATAACTGTGTTTTTGCTATGAAACTACAAATATGGCCGAACGGGGTGGAGTCGAACGCTCAGCGACCTGGAGGGGGCGGGGTGTGAAATATCTCACTTGTATTTAAAGAGGCCGCACCAAAACAGCTTGTTCTGAGGAGCAAGTCAGAACAGGGGTAAACCAAGGAAAGCAAGGAGTCTGTGGAGCAACAAAAARGAGGAATTAAGACCAAAGCGTTGCAGTTTTATTTTAAATAGACCATACGTGAATGATTTAGACATGAAAAAGAAGGATTTAAAAGCATGACATGATACCTTTAAATAGATTAAGGATCGTGTACAGTGAACCATTCAGATACTTTGACACTCAGCCTCCTCAACTGCGCCCACTTCCTAGACAGAGTCCATTCTCCTGTGTTCTGGACATGGTTAGAGAAAAAGGTTTCTTGGTCAGACTGCTGCTGTCCTGAGGGACCCCAAGCATGTCAAGTTATAAACATGTTGCTCAGTCTTATTTTCTCAGTCAGTTTGTGCTGCATTAAAGTGTAATCATTGACAAATGACAAAGTAACATTAAGACATCGTTTTGAGTTTATGGTTGATTAATGTGTTTAGAGTTAAGTGATAAGTGTGTGACTGAAATTGAGCCTTAATTGTGTAAAACTGAGTCTGTTTTTATACTACTTCTGTGTAAAGTTTTCTCAGTTTCTATTTATTTATTTAATTTATTTGTGTATTTATTTTATTTTTACCACTTATAAAAACTATTTTAGGTAGCATTTGTATCATAATAAGAAAATTGCTACTTTTGTGAGCAACAATCCCCTCAAAATTTGCAAGTAAAATTACGTTGTTATAATTATATCTGTTTTCAGTTTGTTTTACAGAATGGATCACAAAATGAAACCCAAATAAGAGATGATTTGGCAAATCTTGTCAATGGTTTGCAACCAAAGTTCTGGTCTCATCCACCGTCTGTGTTTCTCAGTCCAACAATTCAGTCAAACATCACGGTGTCTCTATGTCCCCATGCTGGCAGGATCATCACTGCTGCCTCCTGTTTGAGTGGTTATTGGAATAAATAAATATGTCGCTGATGCAGTGATGACACTATCCTGAGCTGAACCAGAGGAAGAGTGTGAAGAAGAAGAAGGATTACTTTGATGGAACCTTCGCTCTACCAGATGGCGTCTCGTGCCAGGCATACAATATCACTGAAGGAAATGAAATGGACCCGTGCATGTCATGTAGAAATCTCTTTGCTTTGAGGCCACAAACAGATGAACAAGTAAGGGAGAACGACTATAGCAACTGTGCTGAAGCTGAATGTCTGAGCAACTTGTTTCACAATGTTTCACTTCAAGTTACACCAAGACATCCAACATACACACCACAGAACAGAGAAATGGCCATAGATTCTGTAAAAATAGTGTTAAAAATACACTGAAAAGAGTTCACTTTAAATGGAATGGTGCATATTACCCACAAACACAGAGGCCTTAAAAAGGCATACTGGAATATTCTGTGGAGCCAACTTCTTCATGTATTCACTTTGCATTTATATCTAAAGTTTTTGTCATGGTGCTTCTTCTCTCTGGTGGCAGCAGATGATCAGACTCACCACTAGATGACAGCAAAACCATGTTGAGTAAAAATCTGCTCAGACCTGAAAGATTTAACGGAGCCTTGTTTCATGATTATAATTTATCTTACCCTGCACTCTCTTGTCCTGCTATAACCAGGTAATCATCTTGTAATAAAAAAATCTATTTAAGTCTTTATTTCACCAACAATCAAACTTTTCTTCATACACTTGGAAAATATGACTTTCATATAATTCACTTTACAAAATTATGTAAGTTTTGGACATTAAATGAATTTGCCTCGCAGATTGTTTGACTTTATGTTATAAAATAATTATTGTGTTGATTTTTTTGTATTTCTGGGTCCTTTCTGAACCTTCCATTCCTGAGATGTGATCATCAAAATTATGAGAAATAAACATTTGAAATATATCACTCTATGCGTAATGAATGAATATAATATACAAGTTTCACTTTTTAAATGGAATAACTGAAATCAATCCACTTTTTCACAATATTCTAATTTTATGACCACCCTGCACTTTAGGTAAGGGTCCCAGGTTAAATAATCAGTGTCCAATGAGGAATTAGGTAAACATGTATTATGTTCATTGGGAATACATTTCTGTATCTTATTGTGACATGACCTCACAGAGGGTCCAGCCAGGTATACTTTCTCCAAGTTGGCTGAATTATACTGAAGGTGTTTCATATGTTCAAGCATTAGTTTCTTTTCTGAATGCCATAAAAGAGATATTCTGGTCCCTAGAATATGTCTTACATCTCACAGAGAATACTAGCCCTCTAACATTTCAGGTACAAAACTTAATGTTAGATTTAACTGATAGTGCACCTAAAGCTGATTTATTAACAGTGCACAGTGATGACTGCATCTATGAAATAAGCAAAATAAAATTCAAACTACCAACTCTCTGATAGGAGGATGATTCCCCTAACCACTCAGCTGCCCGTGGATGTAAGGGTGCAGACAACAGCGCACATAGGAACAAATTTTTGAAGAAATCTGTTTGCCCTACACATCTGTATACAGGCCGAATGAGGGAAAAATCTGTGTAATAAACCATGTAAAGGACAATCTGTACAACTTGACATGAAGTCTGATGCGATTTGGTTGACAAATTAATAAAACAAAAAAAAACTTTTTTGTGTATGCAGTTGCTGTTTTCTGAAATAAAAATCCTTACAACACTGTATTTCCTTGGTTCTGCTTTGTTTCCATCAGTGACACACGCTAAATCCTCATTTCAATAAGGCACTCTGCACAACCTTTGCACCTGTTATTGTGCACACTCTACAAATCACATGCAACAAGCTATTTTTTTATTTTGCTCAGCAAATTAGTATTGGTTTGTAAGAAAACATGTCATTTACTGAGTAGGCATAAACGAACCTAGAGACAGATTCAGATTTTACACTTGAACAATTAATTGCACATGATTAAGGTCATACACCCACTTTCACCTGGACCAAATACTGACCTGTACTCAGTCTCAAGGCATTTATCTCTGAACCAGGAAATCAAAATGTTTTTATACACAATCTTCTGACTGAACCACTATCTTTGGGGCAAAAAACGTCAGTGATATGGAAGGGATTTTAATAAATTTCCTCGATATACTTCA